GCCTTCATCTGGAGAGTCCTCTGCACAAGCTCAGAGGGCAGGACTGTGCGCCCCAGTGGTTCTCAACAGGGGGCAGCTTCGCCCTCACACCCTCCCCCTCACACCCTCCCCCATCCCCGCTGGGACACTAGGCCGCGACTGGGGAAGCGGGAGGGAGAATGTCAAGCCCCCGGCACCATCTCGTCAGCGGAGGCAGAGGGTGCTGCTAAACACCCTAGGATCCACCCGAGGGCCCCTCCCCCCACCCCCACCCGAGGTAGCTATTCCGCGGAGGTGGAGAAACTCGCGTGTAGATCATCAATGTCCACGCACTTGGCCGACGGGAAATCGAGAATTGGCTACCAGTTGGATCTTGGATCTGAGGAAAAAACTCCAGCGTCAGAGGAGACTCTCGGGTTTTGCCCGAAGCATATGGAAGGGTGGCGTCGCAGTTGCCTAAAATGGGAAAATGGCAGTTGTCGAAGGTTGCAGGGGGAAGGTCAGAGACCCGTTCAGGGCCGATCCTTCCTGGAAAGAGTTTTCCATCCAGCCCGCCTCGGTTTCCGCATCCATCTGAGTCCTTTATGATGTCGGGGATGCCCGGGTCTGAGTCCTTTATGATGCTGAGGATGTCCTGGTCTCACCCCGGGCGCCTCCCAGCTCCGGCCTCCTTCCGGCAACCTGGTGTGTGGCTCAGGACCGGGCGACCCGGACCGCTTTTCCACGCGCTGCCGCCTGGCAAAGGCTCATCTGTAGGTCAGTGGTGGCTGCACCTCGCTCAGGAACTCGGGACTTGTGGCCTTGGTGGGCTTCGCTGAGCGTTCATTGCGTTGCCTGCGGGCTGTTCTTTTGGAGAAAAGTGGGAACGGCCTTGTGAGACGACTCCAGGAGCCATCAGCGACCCCCAAAGGCCGAAGTCCTCCCAGAGCACAGGGAAACTGTCACTTCAGACCGAAGACAGGAGAGAAAGCACAGTCACGCATCTCCCTGGTGGTCTAGTGGCTAGGATTCGGCGCTTTCACCGCCGCGGCCCGGGTTCGATTCCCGGTCAGGGAATCTTTTGGCACCAGCCTTCCTCCCGCGGGAATCTTTCTACTCCGCTGTCAGCCGGCCTGCTCCAAGGGCCAGATGCAGAACAGTCTCCGCAGTGAGGTGCAAACCCTGGCGAAGGAGGGCAAGTCCTGGTGGACCGCCTCTCAAGACACCGCCCTGGCTTATCTCCGTGTCAGTTATCTGCTGAAGCAGCTTTAGAGAGCGACTGAGCGTCTCACTCAGGTGTACCCAGCCGTGCAGAGATGCCAGCCCCTGCGGATCTGCACACAAGAAGCCCACCCTTTTTCCTGCCGCCACCCCAGAGGCGTTGATGGGGCTGAGCTGCGAACTAAGAGAGAGGCCAAGCCGAGTCGTGGCGTTTGTGTGTACACGGGCGGGTCAGCGGAGCGTCCTCACCTCCTTTTGCCCCTACCGGGTGTGTTAGGCCTTCGGAAGAGGTGACTGGAGGCGATGCCCGGGAGGACGGGAGGAGAGTGAGGGCGGATGACGTCCTCCAGGGCCCTTCCGTTTGTAGATTGAGCGGTGGAGGAAGACGATGTTCGCTGACCGAACGAAGGCAGCAGGTGGAGGGGCACAAATGGAAAACTGCTGCCGGTGTCCTAAGCA